TGATACGATGGTACGATGTGGCCATGTTGGACAGTGCTGGGCGCTGCAGCCCAGCCCCAGGTCAGCAACAAGCCAGAGACCAGGGGCTGATAAGAAAATATACAATGAGCTCCCCACATGTCCCTCCACCCAGCTGTAGCTCAGGAAATCATCTGCAATCCCCCAAAGAAGCGCTCTCAGACAGCATGAAAAGTCGGGGGAGTGTGGTGAGAGGCTTGCTTTGTTCAGAGTTAGGAAGCAGCCTGGGAAGCCCCCAGGTCTGCTGGCTCAACCCAGATGGCCCATGTCCATCACAAGTTTGCAAGTCAGTTGCTGTTTTTCTACTGCATTGCACTGCAGCTTGTGCGCATCTGTAATTGGCAAAGTGACTCCTCCCTTTGTAGCTTTCGTTCTTTTTTTTGCATTTTTACCCTAATGGAATCACTGGGTAGTGTAAATTGTTAAGTGCTGGCTTACTAATCAAAAGGTTGGCAGTTCAAACCCACCCAGAAGTGCTTTGGAAGAAAGGCCTGGCTATCTGCTTCCATAAGGTCACAGCCATGAAAATCCTATGGAGCACAGCTCAACTTCGCAACACATGAGGTTAGAATCGATTCTAAGGCTACTGTTGGTAAAGGTGGCTCTCCACCCAACCTCTTTTACGTAGTTGACAATTTGTAAAAAAATTCTGTAAGAGAAGTATCCGATGACCTCGTGCAGAGATGTAGCTGCTCTCATTGCATGATCAACCAATTCTAAATTCCTCTAGCTGAAATTTAGATGAAATCCCTGGGTACTGTAAATGGTTAACACACTCAGCTGCTAACCGAAAGTTTGGCCATATAAGTCTACCCAGAGGTGCCTTAGAAGAAAGGCCTGGAGATCTACCGTATTTTTATGCAAATAATGCGCAGCTTCTAAGTTTGTTTGTCAACCAAGCCCTCCTCCTGCAAGGTATTTTTGTAAGCGCGCTATGCTAATTTTTTTTTTTTTTAACAGCTGGAAGGGCAGAGAATGTGGCTGGCAAACAAATGTAAAAGGTGTGTGTTATTTGTATTAAAATATACTACTTCCAAAAGATCACAGCCATTGACAACCCTATGGAGCACAGTTCTACTCTGACACACATGGGGTCAACACAAGTCAGAGTCAACTGGATGGCAACTGGTTGGTCTGGAGTTTAGATTTTCTCATCCTTAGTTTCCGTGAGGCCTGTGCGGGGAGACAGGGGAGCTGTGTGTTATTCCACAGGGAATAGTGTTCTAAAACCACCCCTGGCCCTCAGCTAGCAAGAACGCTTTACAATAACTCAAGGCAAGAACAACCCCCAGCCCTTCTTAAAAGCTTCCAAGCAGCCATCCGAGGTATGACAATTGGTGTCTATTCTCCTGGAGCACAGAGGGAGAAGAGGAGTCAGGAATAGGAGGAAGATATGGAATATGTGGCTATTCGCCTCCATGAACAGCTGCCTCCTTCGCCATGAGACCAGAAGAAGCAGATGGTGCCAGGCTACCATTACTGAATGTTTTGATCAAAGATTCTGTAGAAGAATCCTGATTAAAGGGGGCGGGGGAGGGGAGTGTGTGTGGAATTCAGAACAGAATTTCGAATCTTCATGGACTCCAGACTTTCTGGAGGCATGAAGGCTGGATAAACTCCTGAAACTATATTGCCCTGAATAATCTTTAAACCAAAAAAATCCCCTGAAGTCTTCTTAAAACCACACAGTAGTCTAGCTAAACTAGTAAACAGTGCCTGCCTGGAGTATTATGCTCTTTTAAGAACTATCTATACAGGATCAGTGGAGCTCTGGTGGCATAGTGGTTAAGAGCTATGGCTGCTAACCAAAAGGTTGGCAGTTCAAATCTACCAACAGCTCCTTGGAAACCCTATGGGGGCAGTTCTACTTTGTCCTATACTGTCGCTATGAGTCGGAATCGACTCAACGACAATGGGTTTATTTTATTTTATTTGATATGAGATCAAAGTGGCAACAGCAACTGGAGAGATTAGATAGAAACCTTGGGCAGTGAGTTTATGTCAATGGGGGAGGAACAACTCAGAAAAGGAGGGTGAGAATGGTTGCACAACTAGAAGAACATAATCAGTGTCACTGAATTGTACATGTAGAAACTGTTGAATTGGGTATGTTTTGCTGTGTATATTCTCAACAACATCAGCAAAGTAAAAAAATAAAAATAAAAGAAAGAACATTCTCCTCTCTTTCTCCAAGGTTTCACGTGAGCCTATAACCGGTAGTACAAAGCATGAGGGTCCCATGTGACATCGATTCCTGCCTGTGCTGAGACCTAACACAGCTGACTGCTGGTAAGCATGGAACATGTGCCCCGTGTGATGACCAAGCTCCAGTCCAGGAAAGCTTCCTAAATGACTTCGCTCATTAAAATGGAGGTGAGGAACTCATACACCAATGTTCAGTGCAGCACTGTTCACAAGAGCCAAAAGGTGGAAACTATCCAACTGTCCATCATAGGTGGATGGATAAACAAAATGTGTTACACATCTACAGCGGTTACTACACAGTCATAAAGAGAAACGAAGTTCTGATACATGCTATGACATAGATGAAACTAGAAAACATGCTGAAATAAGCCAGACACAAAAGAACAAATATTGTGTGATACCATCTACCTGAAATAGGCAAATGTATATAGACCAAAGCCAAACCTGTTGCCGTCAAGTCGATTTGACTCGTAGTGACCAAATGCATACAGACCGAAGGTTATTAGTGGTGACCAGTGGTAGGAGGGAGGAGGGGACGGGGACTCTTTGCTCGGGGGCACTGAGTTTCTGTTAATGATGGTGGAATAATCTGGAAACGGATAGTGGTGATGGTTGCACAACATGATGAACGTAATCAACGTCACTGAATGGTACATGTAAAAACTGTTGAATTGGCAAATGTTTTGTTATTCGTATTTGCACCACAATAAAATAATTAAAAGTGGGTGATCGGAGGGGCTTCCCAGAGCAGTAGAGCAGAAATGGGGTGAGGGCAGCCCTGAGTTCTTGGGGTCCACTCACACTTGTGTTAACCTCTTGGTGGCTTAGAGCACCTACCAGCTGGGGGTGGCAGGAGAGCAGAGGCAATGAAGAAAAAGTCCCAACCACACTAAAATTAAAAAGAAAAAAAGTCCCAAACCTCTTACCGAAGAAAAGGGGCTTAGAAGGGTCTAGACTCAGACCTCTGCAGCTCCAGCATCATCTGAGATCTGGGAACTTGTTAGAAATGCAGAACCTCAGGGCCCCACCCCAGACCTCCCGAATGAAACTATGTTGGTTAACAAGATGTCTGGTGAGTCTCATGAACATCGAAGTCTGAGAAGCCCTGCTGGAGACCAGCGGGTTTCACATTTGGCCATGCACCAGAACCCCCCAGAGCTTGTGAAGACACAGACAGCTGGTCTCCCCCCACCTCATGCTGATTCAGATCTGGGGTATTTCCAACAAGTAGCACCACTCTTCTGGAGTCCACCCCTGGGCCTCAGACTGCTGTACCTGGGAATGCCTGGACCCACTTTCGGAGACCCTAATCAATCCGTCTGTGATGTAGACCGGGCAGCAGTTTGAGACCCACTGGCCCCTGGGTGGCACAAGTGGTTTGCACTTGACTACTAACCTAAGGTTGGTAGTTTGAACTCACCCAGTGGCACTGTGGAAGAAAGGCCTGGTGATCTGCTTCCATAAAGATTACAGCCAAGAAAACCCTATGGAGAAGTTCTACTCTGTAACACGTGGGGTGGCTATGAGTTGGAATTGCCTTGACAGCAATGGGTTTGGTTTTCATCCAACCCACTAACCTGGGCCCAGGACCCCAGACAGCGACTCCAGCTCACTCCACCTTTGAACGAGGCAGGCTGTCCCCGTGTCCAAGAACTGCTCTTGATAGTCACAAGAGCCAAACATACGTGCATAAGAAAAAGACTCAGCCACACCCAGATGCTTGGCTATGTTCGGAGCACACAAGCTTTATTCAGCACTAATGGCAGGATTTCATGAGAATAAGCTGCACAACAGTATGAAGGCCGTTGCCCACAGGACATCTGAGAGCAAATGATACAGTGACAGAGCTCCTGGCCCTGCTCCTTCCATCCCCAAACAGCTCACATGGGTTGCTCCTGGGACTCCTGAATGCTTGGAGCTTGGGACATTTGGGCCTGGATGGTCTCCCCTTCTGCCCCCGTAACTCCTCCCCAACATGTACTGCCTTCCTCAGGCCCCATGCCTGGCTCTGTCCAGTCCAGCTTCTTCCTTCTCAAGGCCCCCTTGGGAGAAGCTGGGCAGGAGGAGCACTGTCCACCTACAGGGACTCCAAGTCCACGCTGGCTCCAGCTCCTATGGCTGCAAGGCCATTCCCACAGTTCAAGTTGAATTCATGGGTTGCAAGAGAAGAAGCTGATATTTATAAAGCACTCTGCACTCACAAAGTGGCAGTCCTACCCCTACCCAACCGCCAGCAAGTAGGCAGGGAGTAAGGTGGCCTTGGAATGGGACCACGTAGCCACAGAGACGACACACAGAGAAAGGAAGGGGCCAGGCCCAGGAACTGTTGCGCCAAGTGGAGAAGGTCAAACTTCATTTTCGTTCTAATTCAGGGTGCATCCCAGTAACTATTTAACTGATACAGAGGGACAAATCTGAGATGCCTGCATGACACGTGTGTATATATGTCTGTGTGTGTATGTGTGTGCGTGTCTCTGTGTACTTGATCTGTAGTTATGCATTCTAACAGTTTGTGACCTTCTAACCTCCTCCTAGCTCTCTGGCATAGACAGTGCTGCCTGGGGGAGGGAAGGGTGAACCCCAGATGGACAGCAGATGTGCCAATATGAGAGGAATGAGTGAGGGGCAGCCAGCGACACCTGGACACCTGGAAGAGAACAGGGAACACACCAAGTGTCACTTTTGCCTGGGGCCTCTTCACAGGAGGGGAGGTTAAGGTGACTGAGAGGGGCTTTTGGCAGTGGCTGGACTGTACAGATGGATGGACAGACAGACAGCCAGGGTAAACGCCCTGCACACATGAACTCTTCCTGTTCAGCAGCGTGCACCACCTTTCCAGAAGCTCCAAGTTGGCAGTCAGTTAACAATGGCATGGGATGGAGGGAGGGCGCTCACACACTGTAAGTTTTGACAGATTTGTAGAGGGGCGGGAGGAGTCCATGGTTCTCGCGGACGATTTCCAGGTATTCAGCTGGGGTCTCCAGCAAGAAGGGCCCACAGCACATCTGGCAGCAGCACCTTACCCCAGAGGGCGGCTCCGGGTTCTTGTCAGACATGGGGGAAAAGTCAAAATCAGCCACCTATGGTGAACAAAACCCCATGGATCAATCACCCGCCCATTAGGAGCCCCATCAGGTGGCCTTATGAGCTCAGCTGCCTGGTAGCAGAAGGCACAGAAACACCTTTCTGGCACCACACAGAGCTTCTCTACGTCTTTGATTTTTCTGCTCCCTTGGTCTCCCTCTAACAGCTGCCCTCTCCCTCCATGGAACATGGACACAACTCCCAGGGGAGGAGCAAGCATAGAAGGAGATAAGTCAGACAGGAACAAGCTAATCCAACAGTTTTACCTGATCTGTGGATGCTTCTTGAGAGTATCACCCCCAGCCACAGGGTCTTGCTCTGACATCAAGACCCACGTTAAGCCTCCGGCTTGGTCCCCATATCCTCTCCACAGCCCAGATCCTCACTAGTCATGGCCCAGGGGTCCAGCCTCCAGCCTCCTGAGTACCCACCTCCACCATGTCCTTTTGCTGACCGGCATTCCGTAGGGTCATATACATGACGATGGCAAGCATCACGGTGATGAGCGTGGCACATGGGAAAGCAAAGACAGCAGGCTGGATACCTGGGAGGGATAGAAGTCACAGTCACACAGAGGACTGGAACCACTGGTGCTGAATGCTAGTTCTCAGGAGATCGCATTAGGAGAGAGAATCATTAAACCTTACCAGTGATTTTTTTTCCCCTTATGTACATGCATCCCAACTAGGCAACTCCAACTAGGTAAATCACAAAAAAAGTTGAGGTATCTATGGGTCCTAAAATATGTCCATGAATTACCTGATACCCCTCCCTTCAAGGAATGAAGCTGAATTCCTCACCGCTTGAGTGTGGGCTGGACTTAGTGACTCGCTTCTGATGAATAGCATATAACAACCCCAGAGTGATGGTGCATGAGCTCCAAGTCTAGGCCATTAAAGACATCACAGCTTCCTCCTTGTTCTCTCTTGGGTGACTTGCTCCAGGAAAGCCATGTTGTGAGGACACTCAAGCAGCCCTGTGACCTCTGCTGCAGCTTTCTGCCCTTTGGCAGCGCTGGGATCACCCACTTCCAGGAAGTGGCATTGTGGAGTAGAAAAGTCCAATGTCTGGAGTTAGGTAGTCCTGGGTTCAAAAAAATCCTGGCCCTGCCCAGGCTACCTGACGCTAATTCTGACCTGCAAGGCTGCTATGAGGATGCAACAAGGGGAGGAGGGATGTGAATGTGTCTGGCACATGGAAGGTGACCAGTAAGTGTGAGTCCCTCTCACTCTTCCCTCACCCTCTTCCTGGTATAGATACCACCAAGTGCCATGAGGACCTGTTTCCCAAGAAAAGGAAGCATTGATTACCTGCACTGCATGTCTTCTCTGCAGAACTCAGGGATCCCGGGTACTCAGTGCCCAGGAGTTGCTGAGGGAGACAGGGCACAAGGCCCCAGATGATGTCCACAGGTCAAAGTCTGCCTTGTCCACAAGGTCAGCCAGGGCCAGAGTGGACTACAGTGTCTGCTCAAGGGCTCAGAGGAGGGCTGGGGAGACTGGAGTGGACAGTGAGAGCATTAGCTGCACCTACAGGGCCAGCCTTGGGGCGGATGCAGCTGGCAAGGATTGGCATGATCTGAGGGGGACTGGGAAAAAATCCTGCCCCAGAGGGGAGCACTGAACTAAGAGTCTGAAAGCCTGGGTTCAAGCTCAAGGTACTCAGACTTGACGAAAGTCTTGTTGCCTCTCTGGGCCTTAATTTCCCCTTTTGTACCATGAAGGATGGGACTCGCTTGGGCATCTGTAAGACCATCCCTTAGGGTTCTGGGATCCTACTTTCTCCTTTATGTAAGGAAGCACTTCTCTGTGGTCCCAGTTTCTCCCCTAGAAATGAAGGGGAGACACCTAACACTGTCATCAGCTCATCCTGTGCCTGTAAGTTAGTAGCTGGGCCTGATGATGGTTTGGACAATGGTATTCAAAGGGGTTCCTTAGTGGTGCAAACCGTTAATGCACTCAGCTGCTAACCAAAAAGCTGGAGGCTCAAGTTCACCAAGAGGCACCTCAGAAAGGCCTGGTGGTCTGCTTCTGAAAAATCAGCCATTGAAAATCCTATGAAGCACAGTTCTACTCTGACACACATGGGGTTGCCATGAGTTGGAAGTGACTCAGCAGCAACTGGTATTCCAAGGGGAGATGGTTGACCACACTTGGTACCTTCTGAATAGATCATACTCTCAAGAAGACTCACAACAGCCATGTGAGTCAGGCACTGCTACCAACCCTGTTAACATAGGTGGAGGCTGGGAAGGCCAGCAACTCAGCCAAGAAAGGGTCAAGGATCTCCTAATCCCTGAACCTCTGCTCTCCCCTTGCCACCATGTAGGGAAGCCTTGGTGCTTAGGAGTCGAGGAGAGGTGGGATGGTATCTGCTGTGGTGGATGTGGTGAGGTGTTGAGAATATGGGGTGGGATGGTGGTTTTGGTGGTGGCCACAGGTGATGGTGTTGGAGTAGCTGGGGGTAATGGAGGTGGAGGAGGGAGGGCTGCAATTGTGGTGGCTGGTTGAGTGTGAGAGTATTCATGCTGGGGACTTGTGTGGTATTGGTAATATGTGGGAGGGGATGCTGATAGCAGTGGTGGTGGTGGTAATGAGAGAACTGAAGTTGGGGTAACACCAGAGTGCTCTGGCAGAGATGGTGTTGGTACAGATAGCTGGCATTGGTAGCAGGTGAATTAACAGCAGTGCTGATGTGATGGTGGTCAGGGTGGCAGTGATTACAGTCATCTGGTTCTGCTGACAGTGATTATGGAGGTGGGTGGGGGCAGGGGCTACTAAGATAATTGAGTGAGAATGCTGGTAGAGTTGGTAGTAGTGACGATGATGGTGCTGGATACATTGTTGCTAGTGTATGTGGTAATGGTGGTAGTGGTGCTGATAAAGTTGGGTAGCAATAGCAGAGTTGGTTGTTATTACTGTTATTAGTGCTAATACTGATGGTGGTGTTGGTGGAACTGATTAGCGGTGTTATGATGCTGATACAATTGGTTGCTGATAATAGAGTTTGGTGGTGGTGATATTCGGGTTGGGAGAGTTGGTAGTTGATGGTAGACTTGGTTGGTGTGGTATTGGGGTTGGTAGTTATTGATGACCGAGTGAGCTGGTAGTGGTATTGGGGTTGATAGAGTTGGTTGGTGGTGGTTATTGGGGTTGGTAGAGTTGGCTGATTGTGGTATTGGGGTTGGCAGAGTTGGTTGTTGACAGTAGAGTTGATTCGTGGTGGTACTGGGGTTGGTAAACTTGGTTGGTGAGGTATTGGGTTGGTAGAGTAGCTGCTGACAGTACAGTGGGTAGGTGGTGGTATTGGCAGAGTTGGTCAAGGGTGGTGCTGGTTGTTGCTGAAGTCAGTAGGGTCGTTGATGGTGTTAGTGTTGTGGTGATGGCTGTAGATGATGTTGGCAGGGTTGGCTGGAAGTAGCATATTTGTGGTGGTAGCAGGGTTGACTGGTTTTGCTATCTGTATGGCACTGGGGCAGAAGGCAAGCGTCACTTACTGGTGGGCCACACCTGGATCCTGTGGTACTGATGAGTCTTGCTGATGACATTTTCGGCTCGGATGCTGAAGCAGTAATCCCCAGGGTTCCTGAAGGTGTGGGTCAAGTTGTAGGTTGTGCTGGCCACTGACACTGGGTGGCATTCCCCTTCCTCCAGCGGGAGGCACTCTGGCTTGAGGCGCCAGCACACAGTTAGTGGAGGGCTACAGGGAGACGGAGATAGTTTTTCAGAAATGGCTTGGCAAGGAGCATGAGCACAGAGTCCAAGAAACACCAGGTGGGTGTGAACTTCAGAGTCCTTTTCAGGACCGAACATTGAGCTGTCTCCATGGCATGGTTGTGGGGCAGGATGGTCCTGTCCTGCCATCAGCCCCCAAACTTGGGAACCCTCCAGAGGATGGAGCAGGCTCAGGAGCACCTGCCAGAGTGTGTGGGCAGGGCCCATGGGACACCCACAGTACACTCCAGGGTTCACTTACCTCCCCAGAAAGTTCAAGGTCACTGTTATCTTTTGGAGGGTCTGAATTAGTGTGGGCACCAAGACCTGGATGCCTCGAAGGGTTTCTGAAAGGCAGAGTGACCCCGTTAGACCTGGTCCCCAAGGACAACTGTCTTTGTGACCACCAGCCTATCTTCTATCCCCTGTCCAGAGGGCACCACCCACGGGAGGGTCACAGGTCTGTCCAGGGCACCTCCCGGTCCTGAACGCCTCTGTCTGCAGCAGGTGCTGGAGCCCGCTCAGAGTGAAGAAGGTAGAGAAGGCAGCAGGGGTCTGGTGACTGGGCCCAAGGGCCCGTATGGGAGCCCCACTGACTCCCTGGAATCCCTGCCGATTCTCCTGTCCTCCACCACCTGTGCTGGCTTCTGGGCCATGAGGGGAAAGCACCACATACCGAAAAATGGGCCGCAGTCACCTAAGTGCACCCTCTCACCAGAGCCAGGGCAAGCGGCTTGGGGACCCCTCCGTGCAGTAGACTGAGCAGGAAAGTGCCAAGGGCACAGCCATCCTGGCCCTGATCAGAGCATTGGTCAGAGGGTGAGGTGGCTGGGGGACAACATGCCAACTTGTAGCAGAGCTCAGACTGTGGGGCAGACAGGTCTGGATTCAAATCCCGGCTCTGCCACTTGGCGGCCACGTGACCTCCTCTGTGGCTGTCAGGGCCTTCTTTAATCACCAGTCATTAGTTGCCATCGAGTCAACTCCAACTCATGGCAACCCCATGTGTTTCAGAGAACTGCTCCATAGGGTTTTCAATGGCTGATTTTTTGTAAGTAGATCACCAGGCCTTTCTTCCAAGGCACCTCTGGGTGGACTTGAACCTCCAGCCTTTCAGTTAGCAGATAAGTGAATTTCCACTACCCAGGGACTCTGCCCTCTTAAAAGCAGGGATAATAATAAAGGCTGCCTCTGAGGGGTGCTGGGAGCTCAAGAAGAGAGGACCCATGTCTGTGCCCAGCCCAGTGTCTGGCTGGACCCGCTCTGACCAAGGCCTGGAAGGACGGGTGTCTGGGGCTCCCCATGGGCAACAAACAGCTGCTCTGCCTGTAGCAGCCCCGCCCACAGACTCACCCTGCAACTTCAGCGAGGCAGAGAAGTCGCCCATCTTCTGCATGATGCCCTTCCCAGCGCCCGGCTTCGCCTGCTCCCACTCGGCCACCACCTTGAGCTTCACGGTGAAGGTGCCGATAATGGAATAGTTGTAATAGACCACGGGATCTTCAGTCACCATCTGGGTCCTGTGAGGTGGCAGAAGGAAGAAGAGAGGAAGATGACAGAGTAGTATTTCTCTTTCCTGCAACTCAGAAGTGACTCAGGTGACGTGTGAGTCAGGTGACCACCAAAACCTATGCTATCTACTCTTTGCTGTGCCTGTGGCAGCCCCCAGGGCCAGCCAGGGCTCAAGGTCAGGGTCAGTTGGCCCAGCCCTGCCATTTCACAGATGAGGAAAGTGAGGTAGAGGAGGTCAGGAAAGACCTCAGGGCTGAGTCAGAGCACGCAGCTCTGATGCGGACAAGCGGTTCCTGTCAGGCTGCAGGTTTGCCAGGCTGCCACCTGATACTCCACCAGTGCCAACGTCTGCAAGCCCCAGGTAGCACCACCTCCAGCAGCCCCTGGAGACCCTGTCAGAAGCCCACAATGTTCTTTGGTAAGGTGGCTGCTGTTTGTCTTTGCGCTTGTGTCTTACAGGTGGGAGAACTCCTGGTGGCAGGTACCCTTCACCTGCCAGGGATGTGCTCTGCGCCCCCAGCCAGGAATCTGGGAGAGGCAGTGTGTCAGAGACAGGGACAATCTGGGGAGGAGAGAAGTATGGTCTTTGGAGTTAAGATGCACTTGGATTGGAATCTCAGCTCTGGACTTCCTACCTAACTCTAAGCCTCACTTTTCTCATTGGTACAACAGGGAGAATCATGCCTACACCCCACGTACAACACCTAAAGTTCCAGCACCACACTCTTTCTTTGCAACGGCCTAAATCACTTTCAAAGGTGCCAGCAGTCTCCTCTGGGAGGGTGCAGGCTCAACAAAGGCAGGGCTGGTGGCTGGCTCACCAGTGGCCCCAGCACCCTAAGCCTACACAGAGCAGGTGCTCAAGAAATGTTTACAGTGGGAGTGAGTGGGTGAAGATAGGAGCTACCGGGTATCTGCAAGACACAAGGGACAACCCACCAGCCCTGGGTCAAAGCTTGGGAACATCAAGGAGGTAAGGACATACCCGTCTCCGAAGTCCCAGTTGTAGAGAAACAAAGCGGACTTGAAGAAGTTGCTTGGGTCATGGAGGAGGAAGGAGACTTTAAGGGTCATCTTGGTGAGGTAGGAGCTGGGCCAGGGCAAGGAGCTGTTCTGGGTGACGACAAGCTTCCCCACCAGGAACTCTGGGAGAAACCAGGGAGGGTGAGTCCATGGAGGTGGAGGGAGGGCAGGGCCAGGGAGTGACCTTGCCCTACCAGACTGCAGAGCCTCTCCCTGTTCCCGACCTTCCCTCTGTCAGAGCCAGGCAGGAGAGGGACCCTGACGCCCTCCATGCCGTTGTCCCTGCTGTGTGAATACTTGTGAAGATTCACTGTGTATGTTACATGCATAGTTTTACTTCACTCCCCTTCCATCAGGACCCCAAACTTCTGAGACAGAAGATGCCCAGGACCAGAAGGAAATGCACAGGCTTTGAAAGTTACTTTTGGGCAATGTTTCAAAACGTTAGATGAGTCCAGAAAAATAAGCAGTTTTGCTGATCTCATCTCCATAACCAATGTGCTAGGCTGAGCGAGGGCCACTGTTCTGTGTCTCCTTCTCTCAAATGCTGATTTTTCCACCACCAAAGTGGAAAGTAAGACGTGTTCAAAAAAGATAATTAGGAAAATATTGAAAAGTAGAATAAAATGAAAGCACCTATCACTCAAATATAACCATTGATGACATTTTGAAGTATTGCAGAGTACTTGCATGTGTGTTTAATATATTAAACCAAAAAAAACAAAAAAAACAAATGCATTACCATTGAGTCAATTTTGACTCATGGCAACCCCATGTGTTACAGAGTAGAACTGCTCCATAGGGTTTTCTTGGCTGTAATCTTTACGGAAGCAGATCACCAGGCCTTTCTTCCATGGAGCCACTGGGTAGGTTCGAACCGCCAATCTTTAGGTTAGTAGTTGAGTGCAAACCGTTTACACTACCCAGGGACCTAATATATTAAACACAGCTCTATCAAATTGGATATATAATTTTATGCTGTCTCTCGGACTGAATTACATCCTCCCAAAAATGTGTGTATCAGTTTGGCTGGGCCATGATTCCAGCATTGGGTGGTTGTCCTCCATTTTGTGATTGTAATTTTATGTTAAAGAGGATTAGGGTGGGATTGTAACACCCTTGCTCAGGTCACATCCCTGATCCAATGTAAAGGAGTTTCACTGGGGTGTGGCCTGCACCATCTTTTATCTTATAAGAGATGAAAGGGAAGCAAGCAGAGAGAGCAACCCACTTCTCTCTTTTATGTCTCAAGAGATTGCCTTTGGACCTGGGATCCCTGTGCAGAGAAACTCCTGGTCTGGGGTAAGATTAATGAGGAGGCCGACAGAGAGAGAAAGCCTTGGCTTTACAAACTCTTTGCAAGGGACATTATTAATAGTTAAATAAATTATTTCAATACAGTCCCCTTAAGGTTGGATAACTAGCTTATTTATATTTTCTTTTGCTGTTATAAACACCACGGCAATGAACACCTTTGTGCATAAAGCATTACTCAAATGGAGGTTTATTTCCTGAAGAGAAATTATTTTGTTAGACTGTAAGCTCCCAGAGGGCAGAAACCTCTTGGAATGAGAGGGAATGAGAATGAATGAATGACTGGGCCAAAGACTCAACAAATTTATAAACCACTGATACATGTTGACCAACTGCTCTCCAAAGGGCTGTGTTCATTTATACCCTCAGTAGCAATGTGCTTTATGTGCCCATCTCAGGACAACTCTGCCAGCACTGGAGACTACCGTTTTCTGATCCTTTGTGAACTCGAGTCTGGTTTGCATTTGTGATGACGTTTTTCGGCACACTGAGAGTGGAAAGGGAAACGTGCATGCAGGGACGGTTCTCACCTGTGATGGAGAGGACGGTGAAGCCCCTCGCCACAGGCTGGCACGTCCAGCAATTGGCTGGAGTGACCCAGACGGAAACTGGCAAGTCCCCAGGCACGTTGCTGACCACGCGGATGGTCGAGCTGAGGGCCTTCTCGGTCTTGCTGGTGAGCACCAGCGGAGTGTGGATCCAGTGGAAGCGGTAGAGGTGGGCATCCATGGGCAGGGCCAGGCTGCCATTGTCCCTGGCCACGAAGCTGGCTGAGATGGTCACCTCTGCCCCCGTGGTGGCTGGGCCATCGGTGGTGAGCCGGAGTTCATACAGGCCTGGGAGCCCAGAAACAGAGACTGTGTTTCAGGGTGGAGAGTGGCAAGGAACCCCCTACCACCCTCTGGACTGGTTTCTATGATTCTGTTTTACAGGTGGAAACACTGAGGCTCAGGCCACTTAAGTGACTTGCTCAGGGTCCCACATGGTTGAGCTGGGATTCAAATCTGGGCTCAGCTGACTCCATATCACAAGCTTGTTACCAGTAAAACCAGGTGATGTCAAGTTGACTCCAACTCATGGCGACCCCACATATGTCAGAGTAAAACTATGCTCATACGGTTTTCAGTGACTGTTTTTTGGAAGTAGATCGCCAGGCCTTTCTTCCGAGGTGCCTCTGGGTAGACGCGAACATTCAACTTTTCGGGTAATAGCCAAGCACATTAACTGTTTTCACCACCCAGGGATTTCCCCAGAGCCTGAAGAGACTCAGCCTCCTAAATGCTGGTGGTGCCCAGTAACACAGACCTGCTTCCTGAGCCCCAGCCCGCACTGAGGAACATAGCAGTTAATCACCACGTGCAACTAAATTTAAATTACATAATTAAGTTCACTTCCTTACATCTAATTAAAACTTAAAAATTCTGTTTCTGAATTGCAGTAGCCACATGTAAGTGGCTAAAAGTCACATGGGAGCCTTGGTGGCACAGTGGTTAAGAACTCGGCTGCTAACTGAAAGCTGAGCACTTCGAATCCACCAGCTGCTCCTTGAAAACCCTATGCGGCAGTTCTACTCTGTCCTATAGGGTCGCTATAAGTTGGAATTGACTCAGCGGCACCTAACAACAACAATAGTCACGTGTTCAAACCTCCGCAGAGGCGCATCAAAGATAGGCCTGGTGATCTACTTCCGAAAGGTTACAGCTTTGAAAACCCTATGGAGCACAGTTCTTCTCCAACACACATGGGGTCCCCATGAGTCGGCATTGACTTGACAGCAACTAAGAGCAACAGTCATGTGTGTTAGGCTAGTGGCTACTCTAGAGGAGCCCTGGTGGCACAGTGGTTAAGCACTCGGCTGCTAACTGAAAGGTTGGCGGTTTGATCCCACCAGCTACTCCTCAGAAAAAAGACGTGACAGTCCGCTTCCGTAAAGATTACAGCCTTGGAAAACCTATGGTGCCATTCTACTCTGTCCTATAGGGTGGCTATGAGTCAGAATTGACTCGATGGCAGTGGGTTTGGTTTTGGTTTGGTCTAGACCCCCTGGATTCCTCCCCTCCCCCTCAACCCACCGCTTTCCTCATCCATCACTCTGTTGGGACAGAGGCTCCAGCTGCCCCAGAAGTCAACCCCCAGGCCTTTGCCACCCTAACTCCTCCCACTGGGGTTGGTCTTGTCCTCTCCAACACCACTAACATTGCTTATGGCCAGCATTCATCCCTGTCTGGATTACTGCAATATCCTTGCCCTTGGCCCCCGGCATCCAGTCCTGCCCCACTCTCAGCCGCCCCCAACAAAGAGCTCCTGCACAGTAGGTCTGATCATGGGCAACCCTCAAAATCACATCTTAGCACAGCCTGCTGCAACTGACCACTTTAACTCTTGAGGTTCCCTACACGCTCTCCTTTCCTACCTCAGGGCCTTTGCGCATGCTGTCTCCACCACTGGAATGCCTTGGCCCCTTCTCCACCTATTTGTCTCTGAATATAACCTCTTCTGGAAGCCTTCCCTGCATGCCCCCCACCTCAGTGCTCTCCCAACATAACTCCACATTGGAATGAAGGTTTCCTCGTCTCCCCCACTGCACTGTGCACTGTTTGAGGGCAGGGCGGGGACATCCCTGGGTGGTGCAAACAGTTAATGTCTCCTCTGTGTCTAGCAAAGTGCTTGGCACGTAGTAGGTATTCAATACCGCTGCTGAGTGGCTCCTGGAGAGGTGACAGAAGGGCCAGCCCACCTGGCTACTGACCCAAGAGGACTGTTCACTTGGCTGGTACTCCTTCTGTGTGCCTGACCCTACAGGTGCTGGGGGGACCCAGAAGGGCAGACATGCATCCTGCCCTCAGGGAGAGAGAGCCCTGTTTGACTCTCAGCAAAACTGGGAAGTGAGCAAGTTTGTCCTCAGCTGCTCCCCATTTGCCTTGCAGCAATACTGCCTGCCCCCACCGGGGACTCCAGCCTGTTCTCCAGCCCATGTCACATATTCCCTGTTCTGAGTCCCTTTTCTTCGGAGCCATTTCTTTCTTTTTTTCTTAAAACATTTTGCCATTTTAACCATTTTTAAGTGTACAATTCAGTGGCATTAATTATATCCACCATGTTGTGCTACCGTCACCACCAGCTATTTCCAAAACGTTTTTACCTCCCCAAGCAGAAACTCAATACCCCTTAAGCAATGACTCCCCACTGTCCCCTCCCCCAGCCCCAGGTAACCACTAATCTACTTTGGTTTCTATGCATTTGTGGACCTTTTCTTAAATTACAAAGTCATTTGAGTCAAGATGCTGAGGCCCGGTACTTCCGAGGAAATGCTGGCATTGAAAAAAGGAACTGCAGGGTCTTAACCCCAAAGCAAGGCTGATGGTGGGAATTCCAGGTGCTGTGCGAACCTTCTCCAAGCAAGTAAGGTGTGTATTTAACATTGATGAGACCCTGGGTGGTGCAAACAGTTAACATGCTCAGCTGCTAACTCAAAGGTTGGAGGTTTGAGTCCACCCAGAGGTACCTCAGAAGAAAGGCCTGGTGATCTACGTCTGAAAATCAGCCATTGAAAACCCTCTGGGGCACAGTTCTACTCTGTGGAAAGATGAGCAGGGTCACCATGAGATAGAACTAACTCTACGGCAACTTGTTAACTTTGATGGACCTGAGGCCCCCAGGGGCTCCGGCTGCCACCTGGGGTCACACAGCAAGCCTGCACCTGGCCCATGCTGAGCTCCATTCTCCTCCCTTTGGCTGGAAGCAGCTCTGGGCCAGGCTGAGCAGAGGTGCTGGGCTGATTGGTTCTCTAGTTCTGGAAGCATGCTCCCTGCTCCCTCCTGCTGCCTCTCCTCCTAGGAGTGTGGGCCAGAGCGAGGCTGGCAGGTGGCAGGGACATCCGGCTGCATCCTAATGGCCATCCAGTGTCTGCAGCGAGATGGGTGCGCACATCAGCACTACGCAGATCCGTTCGTTGCCAGGGGGATGGAATCAGCCAGCAGCAGGCCAGGGGGGGGGGGCGGGTGAAGAGCGGAGGGACGGATGGGGAGAGGCTGGGCTGCTGCTGACGTTGCCGAAGACAGTGGTCCAGCTCACAGCCCCCCTCTGCAACCCTCCCTTGCCCACCCCATCACAAAGAGGCTCCAAGGTCACCGCTTCTCAACCTGGTTTTGTAAACACTGGGGCTCAAACAGCCCCTGGGGATACTGCCCTCCTTCTTAGGGCTCTCAGACTGGTCCAGGGCATTCAAGTGTGGCTGAAGGAGCCAAGCCCAGGTCCCACTGCCCTACCCATCCACATACACCTTTCCAGATCTGGAAGCCAGGCCCAGGCCCAGGCCCAAATGGCACGGCTCAGAAGAGTCCTGGCCTCAGAGGCAACCCAGGCAGGGGCAATAGGGTGTGTCACAGGCCCAGGCTCCGAGGGAGCCCCAAGTGACCCAGAGCTGAAGGGCCTGAACCAAAACTCAAAGGGGCAGCGGTCCACCTGGCTTGGCCCATGGGAGCAACGCCTGCCTAGCAGGCCCCCAGGGTTTCTGCTTGGACCACACACATTTTCTCTGACAAAAAAGCATGTGGGACCCAGAACATTCTGGAAAATGGTTTCACCAGCCTCTTTCACACTGTCCAAAACACTTTCCAAACGTATCTCTGAAATCTGGTTTATACAATCTGGAATCCATGGTTTATTACATGGATTTATGATGTCTAAATCCATGGGGTACAAAGCACAACAGACAGGTGACTCAAACCTCTATTTTTCTCTAGTGGGTGAGGGAGTTGATATGTCCCCCAACCCCATTTCAGCTTCTAGAATTTCAACCATCTCTTGGGTGCAGTGAGCCTTCATGGGCCAGCCTGGGAACCACAGATGACTTCTAAAGACTTAATTCACTTTTTTTTTTCTGTTATTTAAGACACATTGATAATTTCTGGGCACATGAAACCTAATGGACCAGAGACCCAATTTCCAATATGAATTTCCAGGGGGAAGCAGGTGCCCCTGACCTAGCACATTTACTACAAAATTCTCCTTTGGGGATGCAGGTTTTTAATTTCACTTTGTGGTGTTTCTTTCACAAATTTGGGTTAGATCTCTTTCTTGTTCTACCATCTCTAAAACCAAAAAACCAAACCCATTGCTGTCGAGAAGATTCCAACTCATAGCGACCCTACAGGACAGAGTAGAACTACCCCCATAGGTTTCCAAGGAGCACCTGGTGGATTTCAACAGCCGACCTCTACTACTCATTTATGCTGTGTGGGGGTGGGGGGTGGGGGGGCGTAAATGACAAATGCTGGATAATATTTAACCCCTGATAGCCATGCCCTACCGGTCCCTCGTCCCACCTGTCCCTCGACAACTCTTCAATGTGGGTCCTTCTATTGCTCCCAAAATGTGTCAGAAAGGGAGGGGGGGATTGGGAATGCTGGCGGCTCAGGGTCCATTTTGGAAACCATTCCCAGAGAGGAAAAGGCAGACCGGTCCCTGGGCTCTAAAATCCTATCCTACCCGAGGCCAACCAAAACAGGGTGGAAAACCTCTCCAGACAAGGAGACATTTTATGGCAAAACGCAGCTACGCAGGCAACCTGTCCACGCTCCTGGGGGGTTGTGGCGTGATCCCTGAGCCTCTTGGCTTCTGCCTTCCCACCTTCGGGGGTGCAAGGTCCCCAGGGGCCTGGGCAGACGCGCTGGGGCTCCCCCGCGCGGCTCCCAGGGCAGGGCCGACCTCGGGTGTTCGCAGGAACCGAGGGACGCAGAGAGCCCCCTCAAGTGTCGGGGTGACTTCAGGGGTAGGGGAGAGGGAAGAGGGGAGACCGCAGAGGGCCTCGCTGCGGCCCCGCCGCCCCTCCGCAGCGCGCCGCAGTGGCCTCCCAGGGCGCAGGTGGTGCGCGCGGGGCCACTCCGCAGCCCGGCTCCCCGCTCCCGGGCCGCCCCAAGGCTCCGGCTGGCAGCGGACGGGGCGGGGGCGGCGGGCCAGCGCCTTACCTGCAGCCACCGGGTCCGGGGCTAGGGGCAGGAGGCAGGCAAGCCACAGGAGGCTGCGGAGGTGCTGCGGGATAGCCGGGGCCATGGTGTCGAGCGCGGGCGGCGCGGAGCCAAGGCGACGCGAGCGCAGTGGTCACGGCTTCTCGGGGCGCTGCGCGGGCTGTGCGGACAGGTGCAGCAGCGGCAGCTCGCTCGTCCTTGCCTTGGGACGCGTTGTCGCTGCGCGCCGCCGC